CCCCAAAACCCCAAAACCCCAAAACCCCGTGAATAGCTAAAAGTCTTAAATGAGGCTAATAGAAAAATCTTAAGTTAATCATGTATTGCTGTTAAAAAACAAAGATATTTTAAGGGGTATTATTCGATTTTCATCCATTGATTAGATTGTCAATTGATGTGTAAAGTGAGTAGATTCCTCCAAATATTCCAAATAAGATTAGGAATACATTGAAGGCGATGTCCCACCACTTCAAATTGACGAGTCCGTAACATCTGAAGTAATATAAGGGTGGAAGGATAAATCCTAAAACTGAGGAACTTACGGATCCTGATATGTTTAGGAAATCTACAAACTTAGGTACTAGCACTGCAACGATTGTAACAACCACAATGATTGCTATTCTTTCTGTGTAGATTTTGATGTTTTTGACGAGCTTTGAGTCTCTTTCTTGTCTGAAAAACTTAAGGTCTTCTACAATTTCAAAAGCACAAAGAATCTAAACTGGATATGATGCTATAGCATTGAAACTGAAAAGCACATAAATTAGAATAGTAAATCCACTGATTGGTAAGTTTGAAGTGACATATTCCTTAACTTCCCCTCTAAAAGTGCTATATCCAATGCATGAAATAATCAGATACCAGATTATCACGCTGACTACTGCTGACGTTAATATTGATGGATATTTTTTTTAGTTTTTAGCTACATGGTTAAGATTCAAAACAACTCCATTACCCTCGAAAATAAACATGGCGATTCCAATATGACCAAAGAATTAACTGACATCGAATAACTTCATGTCTTCTTAGACATATGTACCATCTTCTAGCTCCTTACCCATGTAACCAATCATCATTATACCTCCGGTGACTGCACATAAAATACCTACCATAGAAACATAACTAAGATATGTGTAGGTTTTTATAAGGCTTATTGGTATGGTTGGAATCAGCATTAGAAACTTATATAGTACTTTTTTATCACAAAAGCCACCATTAGTTTAATCACAAATGATAGTGTCTATATTCAGAGCTACAAAGTACAAATAACCAATACAGCATGATAGCTATGCAATGAACATAAAAATAATGACAAATATTTTGCCATTATCACCGTGAATTCTATATGACAAGTCAGTATATGAGGTAACATTAGTAGTAAGTCCGTGCACATTTTTCTTCTTGGAATATACTCTGCCAACCCAAATCATTTAATTCATTGTATAGGTGTTTAAAACAGCAATGAAACTATAGAGAATTACTCCTCCAAGCCAGCCTGTCTAAGAAAATACATTTGGCATTGTTAAGAAAACATTTCCCAAGAATATCTTAACACTGTTAAAATAAGACTGAACATTCGATGATTTAGGCTAATTTTCATAAGACTCTTGCACTTATTTCTCCATCTCTAGCAGTATGTCGATTGATACAAGCGTCTCTTACTCTTAAGTCTTCGACTTATCTAGATTTTTACTTAGGTTCGTAGGAGTTTAAATCATGTTCGACATTATAATAATTGTTTGATAAATGTCTGATTCAATTTTGTTTTTTACTAATTGCTATCAATCTATTCAAAAGGGGTTTTGGGGTTTTGGGGTTTTGGGG